TAACTATTCTATGATTCTATGAAACAGTCATGGCTTACAGGTGTGTGATGTTCAGATGTGAAAAGGTTTTGCTTTTCTGATTTGAGTGCTGACAAATACCAATGTTTTAGCAAGGCACGAATTCTCTCTGAAATCATGGGCAGCAGGTGCAGTGCATGGTGGTGACTGGCATGAAGTCTATTGTCTCTCCTACTTCTCTGTTTATGTCAGTCTGTAACTCTTTTTGCTCATTATGCTTATCACACAGCTTTTAATAGTTACAGAATGTGCTTGAATTATGTTTGAAATTCAAATTTCACACAAATAGAGGCTTGTTCTTGAACCAGTGTTTGTGTCTGAGTCGTGGGGGGGAGGGAGCTGGTAGTATTTCTTACATGCTGCATGCACTCACCATGGTTTTTTCCATTACAGCAGGAGTCAAAGGAGGAGAGTGGATTGCAAAAGAAGAGAACAAAACAGCAGCTGGAGAAAACGAAGTTTGCTGCTAAGAGAAAAATTGCACGTAGGTCCCGAATGTGGGGCTGGGGAAGTAAGACTGGTGCTGAGCAGCTTCTGCTGTTCATGTTAGAGATTACTTCCTTTGCAGTAAGGCTGTGATGTGGTGGGGGATGCACAGATCCTGGAGAAGACCCTTCTCAGGGGTGAAGTTTGCCTTTCTGAATAGACACACTGTCACTTGTTTTTTCCCCAGGCACAGACTGGTGCACTTCCAAAATAAGTGTGCGAGGGTGTTGGTTCTTCACCAGGTTTCAAACTCGGTTGAAGATGATCTGAAAGCACTGTCAGTCACAAACTGCCTTCCTGTTCAGGCCCCTCTGCTGCTGTCTTTCCCTGAAACATCACGATGCTCTGACCTGGCAGTTGCAGCTCAGGGAAGATCTGAATTGCAGTTGACAGTTCTCTGAAATCATGGGCTCGTAGGCAGCCGGAGAAGCCAGCAACATTGGGCAACACAAGGAAGGGTGTTAAGAACAAGAGATTTGCTTTATGTCATGTTGCTGTTACATAAAGTGTTGGTGCACCCACATCAACAGCACTGTGTACAGTTCTGGTCTCTCTATCTCAAGGATATGGTGGTGCTCCAGAGAACAGCAACCTGTGCCATAAAAGGGATGGAGCAGCTGCTTTATGAGGAGAGACTGCAAAGCCTGGGGCTACTCTGTTAAGAGAGGAAGGTGGGATCAAAGTTCACCTTAGGAAGGCAATGCCTCAGCTGAACACACAGCTCTTGTTTACCAGCTCCTACAGCCAGGGTGCAGTCAGTGGAAATAGCAGGAGATAGGTTTAAAATGGGTGAAGGAAAGCAATGCTTCATATCGCATGTAGTGAACACCTGGAAGTTTTTGTCATAGGAGGCTGTGAAAGGGGTCAGCATCAGCAACTTTAATAAGGGATTAAATGCATTCATGGACAATAGGTTGATAAACAGATGCCAAAGGGATCAGGCTGGGCTCTTCCTGCTCGTATTCTGCAAGCAGCATTTCTGAATGCTGGGGATGTACAAGTAGAAGGGACCACTGAGCTTGGCCAGGCCTGTACAGCACCACTTGTTACAGCAGCAGGGCAGCTGGACATCACTCTACCCCAATGGATCCGTGCGTCTGTTCTTGCACTCCGCAAGGCAGCTAGCATCTTAAATTCAGAATGTTTTAAAATGGGAGAGATGTTGTCTCCTGCAAAACCCAAAGCAATCACTGAACAAAATGGAGCACGCCAGCCCAGTGCTCCACAAGCAGCAGCAGTTGGGCTTGTCAGTCCTCACAGGGCCTATGTGAATTAAATTGTTTTTAATAGAGGCCTAAGGCCATAGCAGGAAACAGCCTGGCTCTTTGTGGGAGTTGAAACCCATTGTGCGTGTCCTGGGTTGAACAAGTAAGATAGCAAAGGCTGAGATGGGGGGAGATTGAGTTCTTTAGTTTGTTTTCTTCTTTTTCTCCCAAAAGAAACAGAACACCAAATAAACATTGAACACACACCCCACCCCACCCCCCCTGAGGTGCTGTTAAAATGTGACCAAACATATGGTGCTAAGAACAGGGAGATGCTGAAGTTGGATGTCCTCATTGCATCGTTGAGTGCGCTGATGCTGTGTTGAAGGTGTTTGGCGTGCTCCAGAAAACCCACAGGAAACAGGGACAGCTCTCCAGCCATTGTGTAATGAGGAGTTTCGCTGCATTTCTAGAAGTTGAAATTATTGATAATGGTTTTTCTCTTCCTGGGGCAAAACCTGCCTTTTTTCTTTGGTGTGTGTGTCTCCTCGAAGCGGAGGAGTTTGGGGGTGTTTGGTGCCACCTGGTCGGAGGGAGGTCTTTTGTTTAAGTGCATGTGATGGTGGGTCTATTCTCTCATTTATTGGAAGCTATAATTAGACTTTTGGTGTTTGCTTTTAGGCAAATTAAGATTTGAAGTAGTAATTATTTTTCCCAGTGTCTTTAAATAAATTCTTTGAATTGCGAAGCAAATTGGTCTTTTGTAAAGATCTGGAGCTTCTGGGTAGAGCACGATCTTTCTCCTCAAAACTGGAACGTTTCAGCTACTCGTAGGCTCTGATTATAAAGCGTATCCTCCCTTTTTTGCTTTGTTGTGGTTTTATTCATTTTAACCTAAAGCCATAACTTAAATATATCTGTGACGTTTCATCCTGACAGGATAAATGGAAATACAAAACCTAAAGAAGTCTCTCTTTCTTTTTCTGGAAGAAGCCAGAGCTTTAAAGCACATTTGAATGTTTTTATTGTAATTTCACTTTGGATATGTGGAAATACTGAGATCCTGCATCTCTTATCTTTGAGTAAATCTCTTACTAGTAAGTGCTAGAACTCCAACTAGTAGGGTTTTGCATCTAATTCACTTTGCAAACGTCAAGCTGGAACATAAATCGCTTAGCAAATTGCCATATTAGCATTTAAAAAGGTTCTGAAATGGTTTAATTTGTTTAGGTCTGCAATAGCTTTAAAACAGTTCTCCCTGACCCCTCCTTCCCATCTGTGGGTCTCTTGGATGCCCTGGTCCCCAGAGAGGCGCTGGGATTTCCTGCTGTGTTGGCATGGCTGTGTGGAGAGTGGATTTTGGAGTGTGAGACGCACAATTCCCAGCCGGAGGTGCCGGCGTTTCCCTACCCGGCAGCAGGAGCGATGTGTTGAGCATAATGGAGCGTGTCTGTCCAGATGGAGAGGGGTCGTTCCTCCCAAGGGCTGTGGAGCCCCAGCCCCGCAGCATGCTCTGGGAACGCTCCAGTGCTCTGTTTGCACACACTGGTCTGTTGGGGGTAACGCAACACTCTGGGTTTCTAATCATGGTAAATTATGACCAGTGCAATCAACATCAGGTTTAATAAAACACACGGTGCTGAGAAAGGATCAGACATGGAGCACAAAATCCCCTCGGCTCCACAGCGCTCAGCTTAAAGCAGGTCAGGTCTCCTGGAAGGCATGAGCAGAGCTGCTCTTTCCTCTCCCCACCGTAATGCCAGGTGGATTTAAACTCGAGATTTCCCCATCTCGGGAGCACCTACTCAAGTGGAACATGCACTAAGTGCATCTTGTTTGTCACTGGTTTCTTTGCCAGAGGCAGCATTTGTCTGGCACATTCCCTGTCTCTAGAGGGGAAATTGCTGTGCCAGGGAGGGAGAAGAAAACAAAATGTACAGTAGTAACTCGCCAAAAAAATGTTTCTTTTTATTAAGCTTCATGGATGTTGATAGTCTGAACTGATGAACACTCAGCCCCCTGTTTTCATTTAAGCACGTGGAAAGTCTTGTCTTGTGGGGCACCGATCACGTGAATCTGTTTGCTTGCACATGGAAGAGTGTGCAGGATCTGGCCTGATTGCTGTGATGGTTTGGGCAGGGAAACAAATCAGCTGAATGCTGGGGAGGTGTTTGGTATAGTGGAAACACTGTGTATTACTGCTGTTCTTGTGGACAGGAGCCTTCTTCATACACTGAACTGTTGTGTGCTTTCCATTAAAGGATGCTGCTTTTTTTTTTTTTGCCCTGGTCCCTCCTGGCTGTAACATCACAGAATGACTTTGTCCAAGGACAAAAGAGCCCCATGAGCCCTGAGTGCACTGCAGTCTGCCTTCACTTCAACCTCTTTCTTAATTTTTAAAGAAATTAACCCCCCCGCACCAAAACCCCAGCCTACAGCTAAGTGCTGATTTAGAAGGACACATAAAAGAATCAGAACAGTCCAAAAATGCTTCAAATCCTGCTTGGTTAGGGGAGAACCAGCCTGCCATTAGCAAAGAGCTGGGGGAAGGGCAAAGCAGAGCCTGCTGCTGTGTTGATGCACCTCGATGCAGTAGTGCCGTGGTGTACGGGCTGTGCTAAGACCAGTGCAATCCCAGGCTGCTTCAAGGGAGGTTGCGCTGCTGTGGGAGGAAGAGGATGGGTTAGAAAATGGGAGCCTGCAACTTCGGAATGCATCTTCATCCAGGGAAACGTCTGTGCCTGAAATGGGCTGCAGCGGAGGCATGTTTTGTGCTTGGGCGGCCTTCCTGTTCAAATCGTGTGTCTTAAAGATCTTATGGCCCATCAGCAGCAAGCCTTTTGATTCATGCATGAGATGGTGCGTGCCGGATTCTGCCTGAAGGAGGGAGCGGGTTCTGAAGGAAATCTGTCAATTTGTCTCAAGTGAGAAGATGTATTTTTCAGCTCCTGAGAGTGCTGTTGAGTTGTTTTCCAAGCTGCATTCCATTCTGCAGGCATTACATGTTTTAAGCATAGTGGAAGTGTTGGGTTGAATCTGAGTAAATAAGTGTTTTCCAAAGTAACTAACTGCTTTGTTTCTAAATAGCCAGTCTCAGCTTCTGGTTTGCTCTTGACTGTATCAGGAAGAATTTTCTGCTGAAATAGCAGTTACAAATGTAGGAAACCTGTTCCCCATGCATGACTGACTTAGTGATGCAGTGGAGTGGTGATGTGAGCAGAAGGGGGATGTATGCATGTGAAAGATCCTCCATAATACCACCGAGCAAGGAACATTATCCTCCACCGAGCTTTCCACCTGCGGCTTGGGGTGAACAAATGCAGCTTTCTCTCTTAGGTAGGTCTCCTGTGGTATTGCAGGTATCTACGTGTCAGAAGGCAGCGAGATGTGCTTTTTGGCTGGTAAAAAAAGTGTATTAAAGAAGATGTGTTCTTCAGCCTGCCTTGCTGCTGAGCCTACCCGATAGAAAAAATGAGCACACTTTGGAAATCTGTCCTTTTCCTCTCCTTGAACACATGTTCTGCAGCTGTAGAGTGTGTTGTTTGGTGAGGGCAAATAAAATATTCCATTGCAGTTAATATAACCAGGGAGCTGGAGACTAGATTGCTGTAGAGACCCTGACTGAAGTTCCTGACTTGGGTTACCTTTTTCATTTAGTGTTGCCTGCTCTGGTTTTGGTGGCACCTTTTCAGGAGAGCTGAGGTTTAGACGTTTTGCCCTGGGGAGGTGGGACCCTTGGACATTTCTCCCAACATGTTGGGTATATGTTGGCTGTTTACATAACACCTGCAGCTGTGAACTGACGTTTTCCTATTCTTCTGCTGTAGAGATGACTGAAGAGGAACAGTTTGCACTGGCCCTGAAAATGAGTGAGCAAGAAGCCAGACAAGTGAACTGTCAGGAAGAGGAAGAGGAGGAGCTCTTGAGGAAGGCCATTGCTGAGAGCCTTAATGTAAGTGCGCTTCTGTGAAGAGGCTTACTAGGGTTCTTCAGCTCATGCTTTGTAGGCTTGCTTTGCCACATTGCACAAAACAAGGTTGTAGTGGAGGCCTAGCTATTTCCAGCATGAGCTGGAACTGCAGCAGTTGCAGAGTAGTTGTTTTGTACCATTCCTAGAGAGTGTGGCAAATGAAGTCAAGCCTCATCAGTACCCTATTTTGGGGTACAGGGTTCTGATCAGAATGGAGGGTCTGCAGTCCAGCTCTTGGTATGCTTTGCTGATAGAAAATCAACCTTTTGTTTTTCAGAGCTGTCAGTCCTCGGACTGCACTGATGCAACCCCTCAGTTGTGTGCAGAAGGCCAAAGCCAGCCTGCCGAGAAGGAAGGCTCTGAAATCCTGGGAGGTCTGGCGCTTTGCCCTGGCACCCCTCGCTCCGAGTGCAGCTCCCACTCACAGAGCACCAGAGCTGATGGGAATGGACAGATGGATGTCGCCCGGAGCCCCCTGGTAGTGTTGAAGAGGTTAAGCCAGGAAATTGTTGAAAGCTCACTAGTATCCAGCATAATCGTGTCTCCGGGGAAGGGCCTGCCTGTGACAAGGTCAAGTGAAAAGCTTTCCTCTTCAGCAAAAAGTGATTCTAGTAACACATTACCCAGCACTCTCGGAGAGGACCTCGTCTGTCCAAGTCCCACCTTTGGCAGGGTGACTCCAGGCTCCCGGCGACTGACACCTCGCAGACTGTTCATGAGCTCCTCCAGCTCTTCTGGAACAATAGGCCACGAGCCAAAAGAGCAGCCCCTGCCCTGCACTGGCCATTATGTAGGGGAAGCTGGTGCTGGGAGCTCAGCCACACTCTGGAAGAGCTGGACTGCAGAACAGGGTGGCAGCCCGATGGGGAGCAGTGGAGAAGCAGGTACCAAACACAGCTCACAGCCCAGGCACGCCACCAAAGTCTGCGTTTCCACAGAGCAAGCAGAGCAGAATGAGGTGCCCAACAGTACCCCTGAGCTTTGTGTCCTGAATGCAGAAGAGAAGCACAAGCAGCAGGAGGCGAGAGACACAGTGCACTACTACTGGGGCATCCCCTTCTGCCCCAAAGGGGTAGACCCCAACCAGTACACCAAAGTCATCTTGTGTCAGCTGGAAGTTTATCAGAAGAGCTTGAAGCAGGCTCAGAGGCAGCTACTGCATAAGAAGGAGTTTGGTAGCCCAGTTGTGCCCAGTCCTTCCTTGAGCAAAAATGAGCTTGGGAAAGAAGAGCAGATAAGCAGGGAGAATGGGGTTGCTGATGGTACAGAAGATGGAGGCCCAGATGGGCAGAAGGAGTCTGAGAGCATGACTTGGCTCCTGCCTTCAAAGAGGAGGGAGGCAGAGAGTCTGGGGCACAGCATGGAAGAAGAGAATTCTACTTCTGATGATGAACCAACTACCAGCTACTGCCAGGTAAGAGCTTCACCACTGAGTAGAGGTTGAACATTCCTGCACTTCTGTCCATTTTAGGGTTCAGTCCCTTCTGCAAAGCAGGCACTGCTGTTTAATGCTCCCCTTAAATGTAGGGACTTCCTCCCCTAGCCACACATCTTACTGTGAAAGAGAGAGGGGAAGTATAGAGGCTGCTGCCCAGCTCATAAATGGCAGGGGCCATTGTGCAGCCTGGCAGTCGTCCATTAATGCACCACTGAGATAAAGAGTTGCAGCTGACTTGTCCCTCTCCAAAGGGTGTAGCCTGGCAGTGTGTCAGGGTAGGGGGCACAGAGATGATGCTGACCATCACCAGCTCTGGCAAACCAGTTTATAAACCCATGGCCATGTGTTTTCCTTCACAGACAGAAACGTGCCTTTTGTTCTTGCAGTGCAGCTTTTCCTTTTTGCATCTACGTGCTCACCTGTGTCGGTCCAAGCTTCACCCTTGCTAGGGCTCTTTTTTCCTCGTGGCCCTGCGGTTGTGGCCGGCAGAGACTCTGCCTGCTTGCAGGCACCTTCTGCCTGCCCCGGGTGATCTGTCACCGCAGCCGTGCTCATCATCCTTGTTGTGGGGTTGGACACCTTCTCGGCTCGCTTGTTGGGGCTGCTAGACGCTAGGTGTCAGCCTCTGTCTCCATCAGGGCTCTTGTTGGAGCGGAAGGCAGCTTTCTGTCACTGCTAAGTTTAAACAGATTGCTAGTCAGATGAAGTATTTATTACTGCTGTATTTTAGGTTTGTGTCAGCCTTTTCCAACCCTCATTTTTCATAATGACTTCACTCCCGGATCATTGTATAACTTTATTTTCTCTGTGACTGAAGCCTCAGCTCTGTTGTTCCTGTTTTCAAGTGTATTTGATCATTTACCCTGGTGTTAGAAAGATACTTAACTTGTTTTGTGATATTTATATTCTGTCTTGTAATATTGAACACTTAAGAAAAACGTCATGTCTGCATTTTCTGGTTGCAGAAAAAGAGCAGAGCAGCCTGTGCTGAAATGTGACTTTTTGTGACAGTGCTTTGGCTTGGGTTTAGCAGATACGGATTTAAACAAGCCTTAGAGGTGACCTGCAGAGGAAAGAAACTGACTTGTGCCTTTTTTCATTTCTTTAGGATATGTACAAAAGACCTGAAAGGTTTTTAAGGCAAACTGCTTTCTTTAATTCTGTGTCTTTTCCTGTGGAAATGGAGGTGTTATTAATCTGGAAGATTGGGGTGACTGCAGGTCTGTGGAGGTGTGTGCTAAAGCCCTTGGAGAGCTGCAGCAGCTGGGAAGGGCATGAACTCTTAATCAGTATTGAAAATTGTGGGGTATTTTATTTTTATATTATCTGTTTAATGCTAATATCTAATTAATACTTGGGGAGAAAAGAGGTTTCAGTGGTGCTTAGTGGGAACTTGTAATGGTCTCATCCTGACCACAAGAGCTCAAATACCTGTATCGTGTATGTAGATGCAGCCTTTCTGGTATTTTTAAGGTGGAAAAATAAGGAAGGGGGAGGGGAAGCAGACTTCAAAATTTCAACCCTCTCCCAAAATTTGCCAGTCTTCTATTTACTTGAGAGGAAATTATTTCCAAATGCCCTTTCATCTGCCTTCTCGCACCCAGCTTGAGAGGTTGCTCCTTTCTCTCGCCCCTCTGTGCAGTCGCACGCCGAGGCCAGTGCAGGTGATTTACTTGCAGGATCGATATGTTTGATGTTTGCTTGTGCCTCGTCTCCATTTTTTTTCCTTCTATCAAATACAATTCCACTGGCAGTGACAAAGGAGGAGCTTGGAGCAGTCGTGTCCCCACTGTGCTGCATCGCTTGCAGACATACCCCTGATGCCTGTGCTGCCCTGGGGCTCCCCAGTGCCCCTGGGGCTACTTTGCTGATGGGGCTGGAGATTTTAGGCTGGGGATTCAAAGCTGTCCTTGAAAAAGCTTCGTGTGCTGTGTCTTGTACCAGTGAAGTAGAGGTGCAGGGGATGTGCTTAAAGGGGGTTGCCTGTACCTCTGCTTTGAAACCTCACCTGGAGTGGGCAGAGACCTTCCACCCTGGCAGTGGCCAACTGCTGTGACAGGGATGTCTGCACAAAGCAAATGCCCTTTTCAGGAGATCTCATAGCCTGGGAACCGGCACTAACAAACCTCAGTGCTAATAGAATAAATTCTTTCTCAGCCTTTCAAATTAGGTTAGGGGACACTTGGTCTTTAAAAGATTCAGAGGGAAAAGGCTCAATTCTGAAGAGTTAGTTTGATGACCTGAATTAGTGAATTAGTGCCATGTCTTATAACATATGTAGTAGGAAAAACAGAAACATGGCCCAGTATTCATGACCAGAGCAGAGGTATTAAAATATGCACAATTCAGGAAAAAAGAGAAATAAAAATAAAGGAGGAGGTGTGGTATTTTATGTTAATGATGAGGTAGGTTGTGAAGAAGAACAGTGTAGATAAAACAGAATATTTGGGGGCTTAGAGTCACTTTAGGGAAATCTGACAGGAGGCTTTGTTTTGGTGCTTGCTGGGGAAGTGCATCAGCCATCCAGGAGTGGAGCTGATTGAAGTTGAAACCTATGGTAGAAATCAAACTCGGAGAGTTTAATAGACTCGAGGAAGGGGGAGGAAAACCCCTTGAGTTGCTTTGAGAACTGGCATGAGAAATTGCAGGCCTGACAGCAAGGACTGCTAATAAACCGTTGTAATTCCATCTGATTAGAGAATGGCAAGTGTAACGTGTACACTGGAGAAGAAGAAAGGGAGCTGGGTAATGACTGGCATGTTAGCCTGACCTTGGCACTGCATAAGGCTTTTGAACAAATTTTAAAGAAAAGAATAAGTCGTAGAGCTAAATGAAAAATGGGATAAATGCAGAGGGATTTACCAGTTGTAGATTGTGCAGGTTAATCTGTTCCCTCTCTTTGATGGGACAGCTGATTCCCAGTCAAGAAAAGTGCCACAGATGTTATCTACACAAAATTTCAGAGAAGTACTTCTCATGCTCATTGGCTGTACTTGTTGATCAGGTCACCCCAGCTCAGGCAAATACATTTTAAACTGGAGGAGGTGAGGGCTGCTGGGGGGCTGAGGGGAGTGTGAGGGGACACTGAAATCCATGGGTTGCCTAGCTCAACACAAATGGAGATGGAGAAGAGCTATTGCCGCTTACAGGTGCATCAGGATAGGTGGCAGGAACAGGCAGAGGGTGTGGAAGGTGCTGGGCAAGGTTGGCATGAATGGATGGTCATGGAATGTCTAGGCAGCAAGGCAACAAAAAGTACTGCCAGGTGTTATCTCAGGGAGCTGCTGAAACACCTTACCAAAAGGAGTGATGGAGGAGAAAAGCTGACTAGTTCAGGATGGATACTTGGCCATTTACAGGGAAAAAAAGTACGTAACAGGGTGCAATGGACAGAACCTGATGACCCATGACAGATCCTGGCTGGCTGTGTGCATTGTTTGTATGACACCAGAATGTTCCTTTCCAGGTGTCCCAGGCGCTCCCTGCAGACGATGCGTGCGAGGATGGGGAACCTATGCAAGTTGCACAGAGGTGAGGAGGGTGGTTTTAGAGTGTGGGGCTCACAGGCTTGCTCTGGAGATGGGGGCTCTGCCACTCTCTCTGCAGTGTTTTGGGGTGCAGTCTCACAGGGGCTGGCTGCAGGGCTTGCTGGAAAGGCTGTCTGCTGTTGTGTATTCCTGGAAATCCATGGATCTGGAGCAGCGTGGGAGAGAGGTGGGACACAACTAGGGAGAAGAGATCAGTTACGCTTGTTACTTTATAAAACATGCAAGGTGCATCCTGGTACAAGTAGGAGGACTTGATCCTTGCCCTCTGAAGCTAATGTGACATGGTGCTCTAAAGCTGTGGAGATGGGGAGGTGAGCTGAAGGTGAGTTATAGCGATGCCATCACGTGGTCTGCCTGGGAAGGCATATAGGCAGCACGGTGGAGGGTTTACTGGATTTCTGTGTGTATTTTTATGTTCTTGCCTTACTGCTGAAGAGGAAAGAAGGGAGGAGGAAGCCAGACGGCACTGCCTATCAGCCAAAGATAGAGTGCAGTGCTCCAGAAAAGCCACTTCAGCAGATGACAGGTGTGGGACAAGTCAACATGATTTTCTTCAGATTTAAGCCTACTCCTCTTTTCCGTTTTTTCCTTCTCCTTCCTGTGGGATGCAATTCTGCAGTGAAGGCTGTGGGAGAAGAAGGGCAAATGGGAGAAGATTCAAGGAGCAAGTTACAAGAGAGGCCAGATAATGTCATGTTTTTAATTTGCTGGGTTTTATAATTTAAACCTGCTTTGGAACAGAACTGCCAACTCTCCTCTGATCTAACAGCATTTGGCCTGAGCAGTTAATATCAGTATGCAGAGTATGAAAATCCCTCTTGCTTGCACCTTTCTAACAAGCTTAAAGCTCTCCTTGGGGAGCAGGAGAGACCTGCCGCTGCCATTGCTGCTGAGGTTGCTGATTCTGTGAAAGCTGGGGTCTGAGCTCGTGTGCTTGTGTGGAAGGCACAGAGGTGTGTGCTCTGCAGCGTTGCCTTCTGCTTAAAGCAGAAGAGCCAAGGGCTGAATATGGGAAGAAAGGGATCTCTTCCATTTGTGTGGCTAGTGGAGTTAGTTCAGGACATTCCCCAAGCTGCTCAGGAAGCTCCTGGCTGCCCCTCTTGGGGCCTGAACACAGCTGGGTGCTGCAGCCCGTCCGTCAGCAGCTGGCACATCTGCAGCAAGGCAAGAAATGGGTGCAGTCTTTGCAGTTTTGTGCACATTAAGTGTTGCCATCTGGCTCCTGGTAATTTGCCAGCACATCCCTCTCTCGGGTGAGGCTCAGGCACCCCAACCGGCTGCCCTCAGCAGCACTTCACAGCAACACATGGCTCGGAGCTGTCTGGAGGTAGTGAAGCAGTTTAGGAAGCGGAGCAGTGGGAAGAAGCTGCTTTGCTTTCTGTGGGCTGCTCTGCCTGATTGTTTTACACTTTGTGTGGAGCAGGGTACATTGGGGTTTTAATAAATGATTATAGGCTTTGTTACCAGGAGATAGTTGGTGTAGCAAGAAATGTGGTTTGACTTCAAATTGATTAGCCCATTTTATAAATGTCATAGCAAGTTGTTTTGTGTGACTTCTTTTGAAGTGAGCCCTGATGTTAGACATGGAGTAAAACACTCTCAGCCTGGATTCATAACAAATGCTCTGAGATGCTTTATTTAGAGAGAAAAGCCACTTGAGATTTCCTATCGGAATTTTGTTATTTATCATAAGTCAGCAGTGGTTGTTCTCTCCTCTCTAAGGCCTGTGGTTGAGCTTAATAAATTTTGTATTTGTCAGTATGGGGATTCATGTTTTTAAAGTGTGTTCTTGCATACTTGATCAGACTCATCAGAAGGCCACGCGAGGTGTGGCGCGTGTCAGCATGGGTGCCAGACTTACTCAGCAGTGCCTGCTTGTTCCAGAAAGACATTGAGCAGTGTTGGGAGGGAGAGAAGAAAAGGAGGAATCCGAAGGTCAAAACGAGAGGAGCAGTACCCGGTGCTGCCCAGAGGAACCGCCACACTAATGCTGCTAGGGCTTTGCTGCAGGGAAGCCTTGCCTTTTGTTGCATCCGTGCTGCTTCTGGCTGCTGTGCACAGTGATAAGGGAGAAAATTAGCAGTGTGAGGAGGGAGAGGGTAGTGTGGAATAAAGCAACTCTGTGTCTTTTCTCTGTGGGGATTTCGTTCCTTAGATAGAAAGAAGCATAGTGCTCATACCTGCACAACTCCCAAATCTTCCAAGAGTAAAAAGAATTGAGATTCCCACAGTTCTGAGCATACTTTTTTTGCTCCCTTGACATGAGATAGTGGCCCTTTGTGCCTTTTTGTCAAGGGCTTCTAGAAGATAAAAATGTTCCCTTTGGTTTTTTTGCTTAGGACAGCTTTTTATACCCATATTTTGCTGTTAGCCTCGTCTGACTATCCTATTTCTGGCTATCGGATATTGACCGCTTGGAAATTATGGCATCCTCTGCTGTCCTGAGCTGCATGAGGCAGGCTGGTGTGGCTGTCACACCTACTGAATTGGAGATTGATATTGTATTTATATTTTGAACAGCATCTCTGTATTGACCCCACTTGGCACTAAAAGGAGCCCAGATACTGCCACAGAAAACTCTGCTGAAGAAGAGATCTCTGTCTGCCCAGGTAAGAGGCACTTGAGAATGTTCTGAACTTTGCAATGAAAGTTACACAGTTGTAAAATTCAGAGAAAAGAAGAAAAACTTCAAGTTATCCCAGCAGAGATTCATTTCCCAGTCTCGTTTGTCAGGGCTGAAATTATTCAGGTAATTTAATTTGATTCCCTGGTTTTGGACCCATTTCCTATCAGGCAGTTCTGTGACCAGAAATTGCTGGGGCCTTGCTGCTGAAGAGACAGCAGGATGTAGATGGGTATTGGGGCATCACTCAAACCAAGGTGTCAGGAGTGGGCTGTTCAGTGCCCAGTCAAATTTTCAGTGTCAAAATATGTGTGAAGTGTGAGAGCTGAAATAATTTTTGTCTTAAATTACTGCGTTAATGAAACATGTTTGGGACCAATGAGTTTTTCTTCCTTGCTTTGTCCTACCATGTTTGAGATTTTCCAGTTCAGGGTTTTGAGTGAGAACATTCACGAAGAGCCCATTCCTGTTCCTGAGCAGCTGTAGAGAGGGGGTCATGGTGGTGCTTGGAGGCAGATTTTGTTGCTAAGGAAGGCACGGTGGTCTAAAGGAGGTGTGACTGTGAGGCAGGCTGCAGAAAGGAAGCTCTGTTTGTCTTGATGCAAGAGAGAGCTCTATTCTTGCTTTGTCTGTGTCCCAGCAAGGTCCCATGCAATTTCCCTGTGTCTAGTCTCACTCCCCGTGAAGCTGCAAAGCTGCGGTGGCTTTGTCCTCGCACCAGCGTGCTGTGACTTTAACCCCTCATCCAGCTGTGTCGTTGCACATTGTCTGATAACACTGGTGGCAAGTCTAAAAAAGATGTTTTGAAGCTGTGAAAGCGCTGTTAAGAAACGGGCTGAGTTACATCCACAAGTGAGGAGGTGGCTTGGGGGCTGCAAACCTGTGCTAACATGGAGGTGTTTTTCTGCAGAGACCCAGCCGAGTCCACAGGAAGCTGTTGAGGTGAAGGGAGAAGAGCTCTGCTCGGACCCTGGAGGTGCATCTAACCAGGTACAAGACACTGAAGCTGGGGAAGGGTCCTGTTTTCCAGTCCTGCCTTCTAGACGTTGATTCAGCAGAGCTGTGCTGGTGTTTCCCTGTGGGCAGCTGGGAGCTTGGATTTTTGCTTTGGGATCCTGACAAACAGTTGCCTCTTCGCTTTTTCTCCACTACTTTGTAACTCCAGTCCCTTTTGGCTGGGGACTGTTCGCAGCTGCTTCTGGAGCCTTTCAGTCTTGTAGCTGGAGAGTTATAAATCCCAGCTTGTTCTTTTGTACCACACACACTGCTGTGGCAGAGGATGCCATCAGTGGGGGTGGCAGTGCTGGTGCTTGCCCATGATGGGCAGCGATACAAAGGGACCCCAGGAGCTGTGAGGGGAGTCCTACAACACCTCAGTCACTTGTGTTGTGACATGCTTTTCCCTGTTACAGTCTTCTGAATCTTGGTGTTCTCCACAGACCACCTCAAAGAGGCTAAGAGGAAAGGTTCACCCAGAAACTGGGCTGGGATAAAGGTGACATTGAAGTGCTGAGGGCTGTTGGGTGGTTTACAGTCCAGGCAGACTGACCTCAGCCTGGGAATGTTGTTTTCTGTTCACAGTAAGTTCTGGCAGGGCCATCCTCATACCTCTGCTGCAGATGTGCGCTGTGTGGCTCCTTTCCCTGTTGTCACACCTGCGCAGCAATTGCTTCACAGCTGCCGCTGCACCAACGTCTGACTTTAGTTCCTGCTTCTGATAAAACTCCCCTTGTCTATTAATTTAGAGAGTGATATCAAAGGGGTTGCCAAGTACTCCTCTGGCAGGGTACATGAATACAGAGTTGTACGGCTCTCGACAAGACGACTCATTTGTGGAAAGCTCATTCTGGGAGTCTGCAGCTTGTACAGTGTGTCTGGAGTGCCGATGTCTCATAGTCGCAGGCTTCTTAATAAACCAGCTTCTGCTCTCGTGTGCCTTTCATTCTGCAGGTATCTCCAAGCACTGTTTAGTCAATTAGAGACTGCAGCAGTGGGAGGTGGAGGGCCTGTGCTGAGCTGAGTAGCCTCAGCCACCGAAGCACGTTCATGACCCGTTTGTCTGTGGCCAGGACACTGCCCTGTGCCTTGTGCTTTGCAGAGAGTGCACAGGTCTCACACCCCTGCCTCGACAGCGCAAGGTGATCAGCACAGTGTTTTAAGCAGTGCAGTGGGGCTTCCTAGGGATTGTTTGGCAGCATTATCATTGGCAAGAGGTATCATTCCAGAGCCTGCAGCACTCCAGGAAGACAGCAGAAACAGCTACAGTGCATCAGCAGTTAGCATGGAGCAAGCACAGACCGCAGGGACTGACTTCTTCCTAGCAGATGCTGAGCCAGGACTCAGGAGTCTTCTTGTTGAGCTCAGCCTCTAGCATTGCTCTTGGCTCACTGTTGGCTGGAAGTACTATGTCTTGTAGGCAATTTCTTCTGCTAAAGAGGAGAGGTAACAGTCTCTGCCTCTGACAGGGGTGGTTGGTTGTGCAGTTGAGGTTTTCCAGACTGTTACAGCACAGTTTTGTACAAGCAGTTTTGGGACTGTGGTGTCTTTTGTTACAGAACGTTGCATTTCCATTTAAAATTAGTAATTTACCACCAAATGTAGGCGGGCAGGGTGTGCAGAATCAGAGATCTCCTAAGATTGCTTTAGAAATGGCAGCTAGAAGGAGCAGTGCCTGCTGCTTTTCCCATCATGTTTTCCTGTGTGTTGTCTGACGAGGATAATGCAGGTTTGATCTGTTCATTTATATCTGACACACCTTGTTTTTTTATGACTACTCTGTGTGACGCCCCACGGTGAGGACTTTGCAAGATGCAGGGACACTGAGATGTGAGAGGAAGGTATGAGTGCTAATGCTTAAAGTGATGTACTTCAACAGCCTGTGTTCAGCTGGAGGAACTCGTGTGGCAGCTCCTCTGCAGAAATCCAGAGTAAAGAGCCTCCCTGGAAATGAGAGAGGTGTTCCTGGAGCTCGGTCCTGTGACCTTTCAGCCGGTGTCTGGGAGAAAGGCATTTTGTGGGTTGGATTCTTATTTTGAGGCCCAGTCCTGCAATTTTTTGCATAGCTGCTCTGAGTCAACAAACTGCCTTCCTTCCCGTTAGGACATAAAAATCAGGATCAGACCCTCATTTGGAAAGGCAAGTAATAAACTGAGCAATGTGACAAAGTGCTTTGGTGGCACCGAGCATCTTGGCTGACCCCAATTACTGCTTCCCTGAAATTATACCATTGGAGGGAAGCAGACATCAGTTTTGCTGCACACTGTCTACATGTCACTGCTTAGCCCAACAGAAAACTCTTCTGTATTATTCTTCTATAGATTTCTTCTATATGGTTAATATTTAAATAACTTTAAAATCACTGCAGGGAGGGAAAGGTTCTTTCTTAAATGTGGAGAAGTCTTCTAGCATGCCTGACTAGGCAGATACCTAGTTACGAGTGAGATGGCAGCAGTCTGCTGTGCCTTGGGAACATCAGTAGCATAGGGAGCAGGCTGTATCTCTGCGGGTGGGTAGTGGAGCACCTCTGCAGCTGTGTAACCAGTGCAAAAAGAGAGTATTGGTGAGTGGTAACAGCACCCAGAAAATAAACACAAGCTGTGACTTTGCTCTGATGAAAAGCCACTGCTAGTAATTCTTTGTGGCATGGATTTTTAATAGTGTTGCTTCTCTCCTTGATGTGTGCCCCCTCTGATGGCTGCTCCAGCCACCTCCTCTAGAGAGGAGGAGCAGCTTCCCCGGACTCCCTAAGAGCGCATCTTTTCATCCTGGGGGAAGCTCTGTTCCCAGACAGTGCTGCCTGTGTAGCGTGGCTCATGTCCAGAAACTGATGAGCACAAGTCAGGTGTTGAACTCTTGCTTTGCCCCATGAATTTTCCATCAGTTTCGCTTCTGAGCTTTCCTGATTAATGGAAGCTTTGCCATTTTTCTGTGGTAGTACAGGTGATGTTTGCCTTAAATGGTGTGCACGGCTGTGCAGGGAGGTTTCACCATGATTCAGAAGGACATTCTGCCTTTGGAAGAAGAATTAGTTATTAGTGCTGCACAGTTTACTCAGCCAGTGGTGTTATTTCTGACCAGTGTATGACGAAGGAAGAATAAAACTTCCCAAGAAAAACTGAGTCTGTGGGAGGGTGTGTAGCTCCCAGACAGCATGGAGTTCTGCACCTAGGGAAGAGAAAGAGAAATGGCACAATTAACTGTCTAGCTAATTATTTCTTCTTTAGGCTGGTGGAGATGAAGATGTTGGTGGGACCGTGGCTGAGTGCAGTCCTACTGCTGCTGACTGCGTGTTGTGCCCTATGTGTGACCAAGGCTTTCCTGCTGCGGAGATCGAGCTGCATGCCATGTACTGCAACGGTGTCGTGGGACAGGAGGCTGGCAAGGACAGCCCAGGTCTGCTGAGAGAATTGCTCTTTGTGTTCATCCCCTTCCCTGTTACTTGCAGCCAGATGCTGCAGTCTTGTCCCTCTTGGGATGTTTGGTGCATAGCCTGGCATGGAGGGAGGTTTGTTCACTCTGGCTTGTTCTGTCTCCAAGCTGGCCAGGAGAGTGTTATCAGAGGCTTCTGTTTCCAGTGCGTCCTGCGCAGAGATGTCTTCTCTCTGACTGACTTCATAATTCATCACATTATTAGTCCCTTGGAAAGTGTACAAACAGAATATTACCACAGGTTCTAGCCCTGGATGCTTCAGGCAGTAGTCATAGGACATATCTATTGTCTGTTGAGGACCTGCAGAGAAGCTGCCAGTGGTAGAAAATGGCAGCTCCTGAGCCACGTGGGTGAGCATCTTCCAGGGCTCTTGAGAAGGGAGAGTGTTCTGTGCCGCTCCAAGCACAGCCTCTGCTCTGCAGCGAGTCTGACATTTATATGTGCAAAAATGGCTTGTTCAGCTGCAAGAGATTGCAGAAAAGTTTCCCTCTTGTTCCTCTAAAATTGCAGAATGATAGCTATCGATCCGGGAGCTTGGATTTTTCTCCTTCATGTGAAGTGAGGCATAGAAGCACAGTCAGAATGCCTATATTAATCCTCTTCAGTCTTCTCTGTATCAGTTTTCCATAGCCAACCTTTGTAGAGCTTAAGTGAACAAATAACACCGGTTGGTTATCAACATATTCAGTAAGTTACATTCTAGCTCCTGCTTGAACTGTAAAGTCTATGTTAGCACAATGTCACATAATACTAAAGTAATAGCTTGTAATAAAATTAACTTTTTAGGTTGTGAATATATAATTTTCAGTTACACACTGGCTTATTAAATGCAACCTAAATCTGTGATGTTTAAGCAATTTGAGCAGATCAAAGCTAGTACAAGAACTGTAACTTCTGCTTTTCTCTAGCAGGAGGAAGTTTCACCACATAGTCTTAATGCAGAGTTGATGTAGTTTTAAAATACAAGGTCCCTGTTATACTAAATCTGTTAGGATATGACATAGGTCCTGTCAAGATAACAGGGGCCATAGGAGAGGCTGATACTGCTTGGTGCTTAGTTTTGGTGGCGAGTTCTCTCTGCAGGCACAAACCAGCTGCTAATGCAAGTGTTCAGCTCTAGCAAATCACAAATTATCACAGTTCCTCTCCCATCCTCAACACTGATAAAGGTTTTATCTGTGCTAGAAAATGGAGCTGAATTTTTAGTATGCCTTTTAGCAGGACTATCTTTGACCCTGTGGTAGTCGGGTCCCTGGTGTGGCTGGACTGTGAGTGTATCCATTGATCCTGGGGAATCCTGACTGTAACCAGGAAAAGGCTTTGAATTCTTTGGCAGTGGGAGGGAATTTGTTCTTTCCTTTGGTGTTGGTTTTCCACAGGACAGAGTTCAAGGCTGGCCTCTCTACTCTTCTTCCAGGCTGGTCTCCTTGGGGATGTTTGTAAGGGTAGTTATTCTGGAATTGCTACTCTGCTGTTCTAGCTTGTGCAGAACAGTCTACCCATAAGAAAACCAGACTGAAATAAAAGAGGTATTCACCTGCAACAATGGCTCTAAGCAGAGTGATGGTTTGGGGACAAAATCACAGTAATTTGGGTTTTCTATTGCCAGTTATTCTAGTATTTTCCCTGTAGAGACCAGGCTTTATTAGCCACAACAGTCTGTGATGCCAGTGCTGTTTGCACCAAGGCTTTCTGCAGGACAGTGAGCTTCCTGGACTTGGAGCAGGATGTAATGTGGGTCAGAATCCTGCCTGGCTTGTGGGGCACCTCACTCCAGTTCCCAGTGGCTGTACAATGGCAGCAGTCACCCAGAGAGGTCTCAGCTGATGGGCTGGTCAGTGGGGTTTGGGTTCAATAGGCAGGGTTGATGTTCAGCTCTGCGCAGAGGACAGACAGTAGCTTGGCACAGCTGTGCAGGTACAAAAGGACTCTGCTTCTGGCGCTGTTACCTTGGCATCCATCACTAGCACAAAATCCATAGGAAAAGCTAATGCATGGGGAGAAAAAAAGAGGTGGGAGAGTTGTCTTCTGAAGCAAATGCCAGCTCCTGTGTGGGTCCAGAAGCTGTTCTCTACTGCTGCAGCACTGTGTGCTCTTGGCTGGCTGCTAGCTTCCTTGAGAGTGCAGCAACAGCCTTGTGTGAGAGAAAAATCAAAGTTCTGCCCTCTAAGCCATGTCCTGATCTGTTAAGAAAAGATGGCTTTGGTTTTCCTTTGGTGCTTTGGGTCAGGGGTGCCTGGTCTATCTTCGGACTTACTAATTGGATTTACTTCTGATGTCTCTAGAACTGCAGATTATGCAGTCCTGCAGACTATAGCTGTCAGTGGGCTTCATTTTATGGTTACAAAGGATGGGTCCTTGCTGGTTTTACTTCTCTTCATCCCTCTTGTAATCATGCACGAAAGTCTTTCAGTGTTGCATCTCAGGAGGCCAGCTCAGCCTGGCTGATATTTAAGGACAGGTTTTCAAATGAGGTAGCTGGGTAAGAGGAGTTAAGAGTTGCTTCCCTCACATATGTACATGGTTGCCCTGGCTGGATGCCCAGACCACCAGATACCTGGGCAGGATGAAAATCTGATCCTGAATTTCCATTTTCCTGTGGGCTGAGTAAACAACTTTGCTGTTGTACCAGGCTGGGGAAGGTTCGGGTCACAGGTTTCCAGCTTAGTGACTGGTGTTAATTCCAAGTGAAGGAGTGGAGCCATGGAAGCACTGCACCAGCTCACTTTTCCTTCATGCACTTACTGAAGGGCTCGCTTGTGTGACATGGGAGTGCTGGAGTCACCGCATCCGCTGCTGCTGCCAAGGAGGAATCTGCTGGTCTCAGTCTGGAAGTGAGTCTTGGCTGCTACTGAGTACAGCAAAATCTCAAGCTTTGTGATATACTCTATTCCTCTTGCCTTTCATCTACATGGTCCCAACCTCTTAGTTACCAAGAGATCCCATGAAAATGAGCATTTGGTATATCCCTTCCTCCCAAAGCCTCAAGTGCAACCTGATGTCACTCTTCAGCAGCAGCACTGGTGCTGTTAAAAAGCTCCTGATATCAATAGGAGTGGCACTGACACAGCAGAAAGAGTAACAGAAGGAGTGCAGAGGAAAGCTTCATCACTTCTGAGAAGGGACAAGATGCCAGCGAGCCTATCCCTGTTAGGATCCTGCACAGAAAGTGGAACGGCTGATGGTGAGAGTGGGAAGGAAGCTGGTGGAAGTGCTGAGCCAGAGAGAAGGTTGTTCTTGGGCTACAGAGTGTGTCTGACCCAGCAAAGAGCTTTGCATCTGGGAGAGTTAAAAGGCTTGCGTCACACAGCAAGGTTAGCATTGCTCTGTGGTGGGGGTTTTCCCCATGGCAAGTCTTCTCCAATCTTCTGAAGACCCTTCCTGCAGCTGAGCACCATGTTTTGTGGGGGGGTTGCGCCTCACCAACCAGCCCTGTTCTCTCTCCTGTGCCTCTGCTTCCAGCAGCGCAGCTGGGGGGCTTCCCATGGGCAGCTGCAGAGCTGGGCCCAGACGTCTCTAACGGGCCCATTATGCCAGATGTGTTCACTGCTTTTGGAAGGAAATAGAACTGATTAGCACCTGAGCTGGTGCACGAGGCTCCCAAGGCGGTGTTAAAGGAATATTAACAAGTGCATGCTGATTTGGAGAGCGGCTCTCACCACGCTGTCAAACGCACATGTGAGATGGGCTGTGGGGAGGCTGGATGGCCTTGGGGGTGGCCGCTGTTACCAGTCCTCCTCATCAGGCTGCCACTTCGAATCTGAGCCAGGCCAAGTCAAAGAGAAATGTCCGCTTCAGTGCCTGTGAGAAATGAGCTGTTGGTATCAGTCATCGCCTACAAGACAATACCCACGTCCAAGGAAACCCTCGAGCTTCGTTCTTCAGTGTGGATGTCTCCTGTCAGCCCCAACAGCTCCTGAGCATCTCGCAGTGCATTTGCTTGTTGTGGCTGCAGATCAGTGATTGCTTCTAAGGGATAGGCCATGTTGTATCAGCATCATGGATAGATATTAGGGTTGCCTAACACTCTGGAAATACGGGGTTTTGCTAAAACTCTGAAGGATTCCCTTTGTTCTCTGAAAAATGTTGTGTATCCCTTTGTCATGCCAGCAATAAGAGGTTTGTCATGCCTGTACCTTCGGTTCAGACCTTTCTCCTAATGAGATTATAGGAATCAATGTTACTGGGATGTAAAATAGCTCCCTGCATTGTCCCCTTAGCCAGTTTGCCCAAGAGTACTGACTGTGACATCTGTTTTGGAGCTGGAGTCCTGAACATCCCTGGTGAGGCAAGCTAAGCTATCTGATATGTTCCCTGAGGATCTTTGCTGGTGGCATGTCAACAGGAATATGCTGAGAGGAATTCAACTGAAAGAGACAACGCTCTGGCGTGCTCCCTGCAGATGCCTGGAGAGCAGGTTTTGGAAGGCTGCTGGGGCTTGCTGAAGGAACAGAAATTGTTGGACCCATCATCATGCTGGTTGGCCGGGATCTTGCTAGCTACCCACATGTGCTGGAGCTGGCCTTTGCCTGCTAAGCACTGCTGGTGCTTAGCCCTGGTAGAGATCTTCACCCAGAGGCCCCACAGGACTCTTTGCAGACAAAAGTACAGATCACCTCCAGTTCACGTGGGTGAGTGTAGGCTGATTGTTGTAACCTTCCCATTCCAGCATGAGCTCTTCCTACCACACCTGCAGAAGGGTCTGTGCCTCTGCACAGCCCCTCTCAGCTCTCCTTCCCACAGCTTCCAGTTACCATGCTCCCTCCTGCAGCAGGCAGGGTGCTCAGTTTGGCAGGGCCGGGGCTGTGCTGCTGGAGCAGCTGTGTAGCTCTTCTCCCAGGCTGTTGCACTGCTGCAGTCAGCTTTAAAATGACTGTAAACTACATATTGTTGATCCAGCTGCTTCTGGCAGAAGAGTTACAGTGTGAAATGGCTCCTGGCTCCCAGGAAGAAGTATCAGGGGGATACTTCTGCAGTATTGCCCCTGAACAAAGGAGAATTGGCCAGCTACCTCTTCTGCAGGTCTGAAAAAGACCCTGCCCGTCCCAGTGCAGTGTTTCTTTGCCTTTACCATCACTTCTATGGCAGCTTTGAGTGGAAGCAATTGAAACTTGTTGCTTTCATACATGGCGTAGGGGTGCTTTTGGGGTGGATGGCAGGTAACCAGCCCTTCCGGTTTTTCCTCTAGTGCTCACCCGGCATCAGAGAGAGGTGAGAAGAAAAGCAGCCAGCAGTGAGAGCGGCCCATCATCCTTAGACATTGACAAGTAAGTAGGTATGCTTGCCTCTCCAAGATTGTTTCTGTGCTTCCATTCTAGCTTGCCTGTGGATGTCTTTATTCCTGTAGAAATGCTGGCCGCTGGCCTTACAGCGGTGTTTCCCTCAGAAATAGTGGCCCCTCGTTGCCTTTTGTAGTGTGGCTATATTTAAACTGAAGCAAGAGGAACTTGCTGTTCTCAGATTGTTTATTTTTGCACTAATTTCCCTTCAGCCCAATCCATGATGGGTCAGGGGTACGTGGTCTCTGGCCATTGTGGGGGGGCAAGCTGTAGCTAAAATGGTGCTAACTCAGCTGGTTTCTAATGGGAGATTTGAGCTTGGTAACCCGGGCATAAGAAGGGGCTAGGACAGAGAGGCTGTCAATATGGCACCTGTAGTGATATTCTTAATTAAATTAGACTTTCAGAATAGCAGTGGCTTTGTTTAATCTCTTTCCATGCAGCCCCTCCTCCTGCCACCCACACAAAGCATCATAAGAGAGGATCTGACAGTAAAATCCCTGCTATGGAAGCAATTTTGCTGTTACAAACAGTGGATGGCAACATCACTAATGGAATTAGGCTAATTATAGAGAGGACAGCTTCTGTTTAGACACATTATCTGGGTAATCAGCACTGACTGGAAAGAAAATACGGGAAAAGTACTGCAGAGTTTTGCTTGATGGGGGCTCTCCAAAAGCATTTTAGAGCCTGGGGTGAGTTTTACTATGAGAGCACTGCTTATCAAACTGAACGCAATGCTGCTGGGGCTGGTCCCTGGGGATTTGTCTCTTCTTGGAGATGGTCCATTCCTGAATAGCTCCTGGGCTGGATACTCCCTTCATGAAGAACCGGTGCCCTCCTGCATGGTTCATTCCCTGCCAAGAGCCAGTGTGGAAGCAAGTGTAGCTGTGTAAATCCATGCCTGACCTTCATCTCCTTTCAGCCAGGATAATTTTGTTCCCAAGCACGCTTGGGAAGGAGGGACAGGGATGTCCTGCGTGAGCTTGGGCATCTTCTACACAAATGAATGGGTTTGAGGAACACACTGTGCCAGCCCCCCAGCAGGAGTGAGTGCTCTGCATTGCTCTCCCAGCATGGCATGATGTAAAATGGAGACAGTGCAGAGAAAGACTTGATTTACTAGTCAGACAAGTTCATCCAGCCCTGGTAAAATGTCTCTCTGATTTAACACACTTGGTTTGCTTTTCAGGCGGAATTTAACTCCCCTTTGCAAAGCCCTTGTGCTTCATTTCTGTGGATTTTGACAGGGTGCTTTATGTCTGGGGAGAAATCAGTGGTGTTTGAGATAGTTAGATGAGCAGATTTGATTACTGTCCCGCTGCTGCAGCAGCAGGATACAGAGAACAGGCAGGGAAAACTGATAATCACTCAGTCTTTGCGATTGGTGCCGGCCTGACCCCACTGAGCAAGACCTGATCTGGTGACACGTCTTCTCCGTGGCATGGCCTGGAGGAGGAAAGTCACTGCTGGTGGCTGGGAGCCCAGTGCAGGGTGAATCCTAATGTGGTGCTCTGTCCTTTGCTGCCTGGCAGGTGTGAGAAGTGCTACCTCTGTAAGTCACTGGTGCCACTGCTGCAGTATCAGAGGCACGTGGACAGCTGCCTTCAGGCTGCTAGGCAAGCTCAGGGAACCAGGAGGCTGCGAAGAGCCAAGGTGAGGGGAGACCCTGCAGACCATCTCCTTTGCTTTGCGCTGGGTTTCGGGCTGGGTTGGCAGCAGGAGCTGTTTCCCTGGTTGACCGGATGAGCTGACCTGGTGTAGGATTGCCTGTCTCTGCGGGCTGCTGTGGCCAGACAACTCGTTGCCCTCCTTCCCACGACACTCTCTGAGAGCATGGACCTGTCCCAGGGGTGAGCTAATCCGGCAGAGCTGCCAGTAACCCCTCCAGCAGGCAGACAGCCAGTGCTGTCCCGCTGCCAGACAGCACGCCTCAGTCCTGCAGGCTTCCTCGGCTGAATATAGATGGAGGGCAGTGTCAGGGTGACAGGCATATCTGACTTGATCCACAAGCCCTTTCCCATGGGGAAGGCTTCAGAGCCAGAGCAGGGGGAACTGCTTGGTGCTGAGAGTAAACTGCAGCATCCTGGGGGAAGTGTGGAGGTGTGCAGGACATGCCTTGCTAGAGGAGGTGGGAGGCAGGAGTATGGGTAGCAGCTTGTTCACAGGCACTCACCAGGTATTGGTCCCCACTGTGGTGTTCCTGCTTTGGAGCACAGAGAGGGTCCTTCCAGGCCTTCCCGCTGCTTTCTGCAAGCAAAGCCTTAGTGCCACAGCTTTGCCTGCGCTCAGAAATGTGGTTCTCAGCATGAAGATGCAACATGATGTCTTAGTTTCATATAATCCCTTAAATCCATCACACGCCTCAGCCCTTTGGGGATTCAGATGCAAATGATGAGATTTCTGGTGAATGATTTTGGCTGGGATACAGCCAAGTGCTGTGGTACAGAGTACTGCAGGGCACGGCTGCTCCTTCATGTGACCAGCTCTATGGGGGATGTTTGGCTCTCTCCCTGTGCCCCACAGCCAACTGGCATGTGGGGTCCTGCACACAGGCACGGGCACAGGGTATGGGGAAAGGTGCTGGAGCTGGGTGGCCATTCGGGACAGCTCAGCAATGCTCGGTGTTTCCTCCGGCCCTGCTTGTGCCAAGGTGGGGAACTCACCAGGGGAGCAGGTCATGCTGGGCATGGGCTGGGCTGTTAGAAAGCTTCCTAGTGGCATTGTTGGCCTTGCAGGTTCCTGCCACGGCACATTTTGGCGTGCTTTGCAGCCCCACCCCACAGCCAGGATGCCAGTACCTTCTAGAGCATTTCTGGAGGCAGGGAGCAGCCAGGCCAAGTGGTCTTCTCTTAGCCTGCATGACCAGAGCAACTGCATCTTACCAGAGGCTGAGGGGGGGCACAAGGTATGTGTTCCTTTTCTGGCTGTGCCCTGGAGGAGGGCCCTTCCCTCCAGCACCAAGCCCCTGTGCCCTCAGATGGAGCAGGATGGAGCCTGCCCTTGGACTGCAGTACTGGGGATGTGCCTGAGCCCCTCGTGCTCACATTCCTGTGACAGCCCTGTGGTCACTGGCTGGGCTCAGGGGTGGCTTCCTGCACCCTGGCCTCCCTCTTTACTGTGCTCTGCTTTATTAACTGCCCTCAGTTGCCTCTGATCAGGCACTGGTCAGGCTGAGAATGGGGCAATGCCATTCCCGTTGGCAACTGGCTGTGTTCAGCTGGAAACCTTGGAAATACAGCATTCCCTCTTGTATCCAGCTGGACCCAGTGGGCTAGGGGAGCATGTGGCTACAGGGCCACCCTGGCTTTGGGGTTCCCTCTTGGCAGCACTGTGACAGTGTTTCTCTCTCCTTGGCAGGACACTGGAAGGCAGGAGAGGGGACTCCTCAGGATGCTGGAGCTCTCGGAGAGCAAGTCTGCAGGTGGGAAGCTGCTTTTTTTGCCTGGCTGGCTCAGGGCTGCCCTTTCTCAGCTCTCCCTGTTAGGTCCCACTCAGCCTGGACTGTGCCGTGACAGCAGAATCCTGTTGAAGGGGTCTGTAATTCCTGAGCAGAGCACGGGGCTGGGGCTTAGCTGGTTGTAAGCACCACCCAGCTGGCTGCACACATCCCTTCCTCTGCCCGCTGGACCGGTGCCAGCACCCAGAGCCTTTGCAGGGGTAGAGGTGTGCTCTGAGCCATCCAGCGGGGGGTGGCAGGGTGCTGCTGTCTCTGCCTGCGCATGGGTGCTTTCCTCCATGGATCCAAGGACAAGAGGAGATGAGCAGGGAGAAATGCTCTCAGCAGCACCCTCCTTCCTTGCCCATGGCTCATGACAGAGGGCAGTCAGGCAGGGCTGACGTGCTCTTGTTGCAGGTGCTGATGCGGGGACCCCCCTCCCTGGACTAGGAGACCAACAATCCCCTCCTGCTCGCCCAGCCAGAGGCAGAGGGCCGATGGGGAACAGCCCCAGCTCCCTTCGGCACCTTCCCTTCAACATCTCCCCTGTGAAATCCGGCATCTCCTTCTTGGAAACCACGGCCTGCGTGTTGGACTTGGAGCCACAAGCGGCTCTTCATCTGGGCAGCCAGCAGCAGACCAAAGGCTGCCGCCGAAGATTTAAAAGGCACAAGTTCGGAGTCAACCGTGGGCATCAGTTCCCCTCCATGGCACTGTGTCCCTGCTCCACCGCAGCCCCGTTCTCCCACCCCCTTTTCTATGTTTTCTACGACCTGTGCAGGGAGCACTGGGTGGAGCAGTGACTGTGTGTTTTATAGGTGCCTGTGCAGCTTTGCTCTCTGTTAAAGAAATGGAAATATATTTATGTATGTTTTTATGAAACTGCAGCAACACTGAGGAGCTGTGCTGTCTTTCTCTGGGGAAATGGGAGGCACTGGAGGGAGGAGAGGAAGAACAGCACACTGAATCCAAAATCACAATTATGCAGCCTGTTTTCTGGCCTGGGTCTCTGGGAGGTTGTTGGTAGCTCGGGGAGCCCCTGGGCAGGGGGCTGCAGGGCGTAGCACTGTTAGGAGGGGTATGTTGGGCAGAGGACACCTCCGTGCCAGCTGCCTGCTGCAGTCAGCGGATGTGGAGACCAGTGTGACAGCGGTGTCCCTGTGTCCTTGGTGGCTTCCCCATCCACCGTGTGCCTGGAGCCCACTGCCTGCGCGTAGGATGGAGCCCGGGCTGCCCTGTCTTGTCTCCCATTCCCCAGGAGCACTCTCGTTCTGCTGCAGCGCCCCTTGCCAGGAAGCGGGTGGATGTCTTCTGACTGCACTGCTTAAGTTAACGCGGGGCTAATGAAAGCCGGGACCTGAAGTCAGACAGCGCTGACGGCAGCCGAGGCGC